CGCGCGCTTACGGTCTCCGTCCCCGTTTATGGCTCCTGGTTAAACTCCCTCCACTTCTTTCCCCCCGTAACCTGCGGTTTGCTAGTTGTGTGACCAATGTGCTTTTACTTATCAAAAAGTATGGCAGGAGAGAAATTTAGTACTTTGCTCGAAGTCAACAGTCTTGGGCCTATCCGATTGACAGTGGAATTGTGTTCTTAGGCAACCCTCGCTCGATTCCGATAGCTCACGTAGAGATCTTCTATTTATATACCTAGAAACCAAACTGATTTAAGAGCTGATACTGTCTCCGACGTGCCTTGATCCGACGTGCCTAGATCAGGACCTTCTAAGCCTAAGGATTGCGGAAGGATAACAAACTTATGCACAGTTGAGAGACTTGACACATATTCCGGCGCCACCTTCACAAAAAATTAATAGAAAAGGAAATCAATAGAGTGGATTTGAACGGCCAGAGCTTATTTGAAAATGGCAAACTTGCAGCTTGTTTGTATATACCAAAAGAGCAGTACCTTCAATCAATTCTAGAACAAATAAAAAGGGTTTTTTTTTGAAAAACCATAAAAATAAAAATATTCGCTTCACAAGAGGGCAAAATGGTAACTCAAGCTGAATCGCAAGAGGCTGGTTAACCTTTCAATGTTGTACTTCGAGTTGCCAAGGGCAACCGTCTGCGAATCATAGTGTACAAATCTAAACACCCTGGCATAAACGACTGGTCCAGATTCCCCGCAGAGCTTCTAAATGAATTAGGGTGAAATTTTCACCGGTATTAAACTATTATTTCGTTTTCGTTAAAATCCTCACCGGTTTTTATTTTCCTCCTTCTTGTCGTGTGAGAAAAAGAAGACCTGTACAGACTACGGCCTGGAGTCTGTCATTTTGCCTCAATGAAACTTAGAAGGCTAAAGGACAGATTGAATAATAAATAGAGGGGGAGGACTACACGTGGGCGGAGACAAAATTTTGTCAAGCAAATATGAACAAGTAGCCTAACACCTCTATTCACGACTGAAAAAGCAAGATGCCTTTCCAGATCGATCATCTAAATTTGAAAATTATAGTAATTCATCATCATCCTATTCAATATTCGTATATTTATTTCCCAGGCCTTCCTCTTAGATGATTTTGAATTTTTGCTATATTTGGGCAATCAAATCTTGAGTTCAATTTCCGCTGTATTCATTACAAATAACTTCACGACTGATACTTATTGCCTTTGCCTCGGGGAAATATTGGCCCAGTTTTTAGTTGATATTTAATAGTTTAATTGTTCTGTCACTTGTTTTGTTGAGAACGTTGCAGACTAACACAAAAAAAGAGCGCTAAGCATCTCATGGTACTTTTCTGTTCGTCACAGGTGGCCTGTTGTTTGTTTTAAGGCTAGTCATGAGAGACTTAACGTACATCAATATTTATGGCGGAAAATGACCTTTCGCAAGGTGCCTGCTTTGCACTCGCGCCCTCACAAGAGACGCAATTGAGATGATGCGATCGACCACGTTTTATTTTGAAGTGTGTGCGTTTGTGTTAATAGCTGTTTCGCATAGCTATGATCTTAAATCCGAGACTCGAAACTTGCAAGGTAAGCAAAATTCTTATCAATTATGACCTTTGCAGCGCATGCCAGGTCAGTGGAAGTCAGTCTGTGCAACCAGTAGTGTTGCCAACTTCATATAACGGTCCATTTTAACTGAAAACCACAGTTTCTACATACAATTTCGGCTAAAGCATGTTGTTTGAAAATACTGTGGTTGTTAATCTGGAAGTGATGTCCTCTTTGGTACCGGCTTTAACTTATGCGATGTTTTTAACTATGGGATAAATAGGATAAATCGAGTTTGTTCTACTCAACTATACACTATTACTTGGTTCACTATCACTATGGATTGAACGTTTCTTGACACGGAAATGAATACTGATCATATAAAGCTTCAGTACAAGACCAATGAAGTACATTAGACGAGACCAGCCAGCTTTAACGTGAATAAGTAACGCAGCCCGTCTCTATCTCTACGAGTTAAATTTATTACGCCTACAGACTCAATGGCACTGGTATATCAAAGACAATTATTGCTTAACTTTGTGGAAATTCACTCAGTAAAAGCAAATATCCCTCAAATTGATTTGAACAAGGTTGTTCAACTCAGATGGAATTGATAGAGCATCTATTTATGGCTTCCAGCTTGGTTGTTTAGTGAGGTGAAGACCTTCGTTACGTTCAGTACGCATGTGAAGTGGAGCATGTGATAGGGTAATAAACCACACTTTTATTAACCTCCTTAGGGAGCGTATTTGAAGTATTTACCAATAAAAAACGTAAATAAACACTAATGGAGTTACAGTCAACATTGCCTAGGTTAAGCAGTCGGATTTTAGGTTAATTTTAACTTTTTCGGCGAGCTCAGTAGAATGCGATTCAAAGAAAACCCAAACCCTTTTAGACCAGAAAATTAAACTTAAAAGATTTAAGACTTAAAAGGCGAGTCATTTAATAGGGCTATCAAGGCTCATATCATATAAGCTCTGAAATGCTTACAGCTTTAACTTTGTACATCCACGCAGAAAAGGATGGACATAATGTCATTCGTCGCAAACGAGCCTTTGGTAGCAGCGCTCCACCTTGTAACAGTAAGTATATATCGTGGTTTTTAGTTTTTCGTCCTCAGGTTTTGTTTCAGGAGTGAACATCTATAATCAAAGGGTGAAAGTTAGCTTTAACGGGACATTTGCTTGAGTTGTTTTTGTATAAAGAAGAGTGCTGTAGTATACAGATATTTGATTCCTTGATTTCCAGTACGAAGAAGCCACTCACCATGCAGACAAACAAGTACAGTATGGAGACGATGATCTACGTCTCTTGGTACAGAATAGTAAATTGGTGACTGCAACACTTTTAGCAGCTTGCTTTGACCTTTTTGATTACTTTTTCGGTAAACTAGTCTCCTTCCTTTTTCTAAAAGCACGTCAGATGACTTTTACAAGACAGATTATCAATTAACAATCCCTAGGTATTACTCATCGGACTGATTAATTCAGTACGTCGCGATCGGTTTTCCTTGTTCAAAACATTCACGCAAAATATCGTCTGACTCTCAGATTTTGTTTCTCTGTCCATTACCGTCAGGCTACCAATAAGTCGATATGAAACCAAACAAAACGGGGATCATTGGGCTCGTTTCCGAGCACGGTGTGGTAAATACAGCAGGCGGATCATTTTAATCCCGTGTGGATTATTTTGCGATCAGGTAAAAGAAATGACAAAGTACGGCAGTTACCAAGGTTTCTCTGTTAAGCTCACTTCTCGTGACGGTTCACCCGGGGATGAGGTGGAAAAAGACCTTTTAAGTATGTGAGAAACAGCTGATAATGGATGATCATGAAACAAGAAGTATTCGCCTTCAAATGGTGGCGGAACCGCATCTGTTCCATAAATGGTCTCTTCGCAAGCATTTGTGCATTTCCCAGATTTTACAACTAACTTTGCTGTTTTCAGAAATTGCCAATTTTTTTATCATTGCCGCTATATCTGTTTCTGAGAGAAGAAATCTGTCAGCGTAAATTTGGCTCGAGTTTGTTTTCGCGTATCGAGGTTTTCAAGAAACTGAATTCAGTCCCTATATTGCCAATGATGTTCACACTTTGTTGGCAGTGCAGACCAGACGACAATAGTAAACTTGTTTCTATTCCCCTTTTAGTGACTAATGGTGTATACTTGGAAAAATGGGACAGGATAGACTACAAACGCGTTAAATTTCTGCTGGCGGATCCAAGATATCCAAACCTGCCAAGTTTTGCAACATGTGTTCCAACATTTGAGCAGCCGTCAAACTGGGGAGACTTCTTTGGCTCGCGTTTGAGAACGTATTTTGTTCCTCTTCAGACCGGAAATCATTACTTCTACCTGTGTAAGTGATTCTGGATGTTACGATTAATCATAGACTCGTTTTTAAATCTTAAATGAACGATTCTATTTACACCTGGGAAGAATTCTTCTCCCTAACTCGATCGGTTGAAAAAAATTCAACTTGCTACTAGTCATTCATGGTTGCAACTACATTAGTCACTACACCCACTAACAGGTTTTCCTCGGTTAAGTTCCCTACAGTAAATGATATTAGGGTTGTAAAATGTTGGCTTTGTCCCGACCGCACCACCAAACCACCAAAATGGCATAACTTGTGGAGCATCTTTTGGATAGCTTGATCCTGAATAGTAAAATATAAACTGAATTTTCTAAACACCTTGCATTGCAGCATGAGGTTTTTACCAACAGAAACTGTTTTAGCACCACGTTATAGTAAGCCGTTATACTAAACCGAAGGCTCTGTTAATAATACCAACTTGAGGCTACATTTACCGTTATCTTAGCTTCGATATTGTAATATCCAGTCCACCATTCCGACAATTCCAGTATAGTTCAGTTTTGCACATGCGCATACATCGCTTATAGTGCCACGTTGTCAGATGTAGTCGGCGAAGTGTTTTGTTATTAAACGGCATTTATCTAGAGAAAGACTCGCGGTTGTTACAGATATTCACATTTAGATTCCAACATATTTTTTTCTAATTCATGCAGCTTCTAATGGGGGGAGCGAGCTCTTCATAAGCAAAGACGACAAGCCTGATAGCAAAACTATGATATCTGGAGTAGATGGAGGATTTCCTAGTCATCAATATGAGTATGACAGGTACAAAAACAAATTATCTGTAACCACCAGCTCAAATTTAGCCGTGCAATTATACCTTCCTGTCTCCTTTACACGCATTACATCGCTCATCGCAAAGCAAGATTGGAAGCCCACAATCTCGCTGGTGAGTGATTAAGTTTAAGATTGAATTTTTGTCTTCCATGGCCCCCAGAAGGGCCCTCGGGGGATGTTCTTATGAGTATCGCGAATCTGATCAACCATAAGTCACCCCGTTAACCGTTAAGAACAGCCCAGATAAAACAAAATTCCCTGTCAGTATCACTAACTGTAAGAACTGACTTTCACACAGCGAACGCAAAGGGATAGTTACTGACACTTTTCTATTGGCAAAATCTATTACCATATTTACAGGTTCACAAACCAAAAGTCACTTCCAGTCTATCTAGAAAAAGATAAGTATTACTACATGGAAGCTATCATGAAAGACGATCATCAATCTGATCACTTGGAAGCTGCTTTAGAGACCCCAGACGGAACATTTTATAAAGTGATTCCATCTAAGTTCCTTTGGACAACAAATCGTCTTTCAGCCTGTAAGTGTAACTGGAATTAATGTCTCTCTCAAGATAATAGATTAGTAGATAGTAGTTTTACTCCGTTTTTATCTTTTTGACACATTGTTTTGTTTTGTTATTGAGATCTTACATTTAATTTTAGTTTTAGTTCAGTAAGTGTGCTAGCCTCTTTACATAAAGCGCTTTTGAAATATCTTAATAAAATTAGCGCTATATAAATGTGTCAAGATTATTAAAATACTTTGGTAATCAAAAATACAAATAACAACAGTTACAACATTATTGATAAATTTCTATAAACTCTTTTTAAAAAGGTCTCTTTTAGATGCAAAAATGTGTCCCTAGATGGAGGGTTATCTTTTCCCCTGAGCCATGTTTTACCCACTTAGTCCTCCTGGATTCTCGCATCTGCGTTCAAAATTATTCCTGGTAGGCGATTTAACATGTCTAATTTTTAACGTGGAAAAATTACGTGGAAAAAAATTGGTTCGGGTTCACTCTACCTTCAAAGCGAGTGAGTGACCTTCCACACAGGTTCACCCTGTCCCCGAAGGGACAACGTTTCTTCCAAATAAGTTTGTTTTCTAGGTACTCAGCTTGTTCCTTGTGTTATATTAGCGTATATTTATTTCATTTTAGCACCAATTCATACCAATAAATTATCTTACCGAGAAGAGGTGAAGTTCTTATGCTACACAACGTACAATTGCTTTTATTCTTGAAGTTCCCTGATCCACAGCGACAAATTTTTCTCGCCTTCATGGTTTGACGAATTTCAATTTAAAGACGTTCTGAGAAAAGGACAATGAATTAAATTAACCACGAAATGGGGGAAGCCAAACAATGAAAATCGCAAGCAAATAAAACATAGGAAACCGAAATTGCGACCAGCTATTATGCAGGTAAAATTAATTCAAATAATCGTTATTACAGGTGCAGTTAGATCAACGGGACCTTTATTTATTTATTTATTTATTTATTTATTTATTTTTTGCAGCTCAAAATGCTACACATCAGGCGATTTTACTTAAAGTGGCAGCACGAGCCGGTGCAAAAGCTGGTTCATCATTTGGAGCAAAGTGGGCGATGAAAAGTGGAGCAAAAGCAGGAGCAAAGGCTGGTGCCTTGGCAGGAATGGCGGCTGGAGCGTCGGCAGGAGCTAACGCAGGCGAAAAATCCGCCATAAACACGTTTAAACATACTCTGGAAGATGCCTTTAATACTCTACATGGTGACAACTTGCACAAGTTTAACATCATTATTAAACATGGTAGTGTAGTCGATGTAACGGGGCCTGGAATGGGAGGAGCTGTCGGGACAGGATCTACCAGTGGTGCTGTGGGTGCTGCAGCAGCTGGAGCAAGTATGGGTACGGGAATTGTAGGGGGTGGGGCAACAGGAGGTGGTGGTGCTGGAGGAGGAGGTGGTGCTGGTGCAGGAGGTGGTGGTGGGATGGCGGGGGCTGGCGGTGTAACTGGGACAGCGGCAGGAGGTGTTGGAGTTGGTGGAGGGGGTAGAGGCGGTGGTGGTGGAGGTGGAGGGGCGGCAATGGGAGGAGGCGGAGGAGGGGTTAGTGGAGGTGTAGGAACAGGTGCTAGCGCGGGTGCGGGTGCGGGTGCGGGTGCGGGTGCGGGAACGGGTGCTGGAGCTGGCGCTAGTGCTAGTGTGGGTGCCGAAGTGGGTGGTGCCGGGGGTGTAAATGTAGGAGGAGGTGTTACAGCTGGTGGATCATCAGCTGGGCTAATTACTGGGGCTGGTGGTGCGACAGGAGGTGCTGGCGGGGCATTTGGTGGTGGTACTGGTGGTTCATTCGGAGTAGATTATAGCGGAGTACGTCAGATCACTTACTTTCCAAAACCAGGAGAGGATCCACAAACCGCTGCTCGGGCCTTAGTTTGGAGAGTAGGAGGCGCAAGTAGACGTAAGTCCTCATTACCTTTGTTGTTGCTGTTGTTGATGCTGTTGTTGTTTATTCGCTTTTTTGTCCATAGAACCAGGAGAAGAACGCCATTATTGACCAGTGTAGCAGTTATATGGGTGAAAATCGAGGAAAATATGAAACCTTATTTAAAGTGCAGTCATTCCCAGGAGTCGTGAAAGAGTCTTGTTCCAAAAATAATAACTGCCACATGGATGATAAATACCCAATTCATTTAGGATCGTGTGCGCCGTACCTGAGATGCTGCCCGAAGAATTCAATAATGATGACATAGAATCACAGAAATCTGAAAAGGTTATGAATTTCTGCAAATAAAAAACCTCTGAAGATTTATTTTACTAACCTCAATTTCCTTTTTTGCTCCTTAGTTGTGAAAAATGCATTATACACTGTACATTCTTGGGATATCCCATACGCACAGGAGAATAGCAGTCTGAACTACTGTTGGCAGGCAAACAATGGTGACGTGAAACTGGCTCCTTTTTGCCAAGTTTTTATAGTTCGTATTCCTGGACTGTACACGGGAGCTAAAGAAAGGACACATACAATGTCATTTGAGTCAGTGTGTTTACCAGGGTACTTCATAAAACAGAAAAATTATCACATGATTCTTCAGAAAAGAGATGGATCAGACCTTTTTGGTGAGGATATAGCTTTTATTTTTCTTGTTGTACTTTTAGTTTTTGTTTGTCTGTTTGCCTGTTTGCTTGCTTGTGTCCCCCAAAATGTTTTGAATTTGGGATCGCATGATATGGACGGAATTATGGGAAGATAAGGTTTTGCTGTTAGTCTCAGTTTCCAACAGCAACAACTTCATTACAATAGAAATGCTCGTAAATTTTAAACTTGGCCTTACTATAAAAAGTAACTTGTTATCCGGTTGTCACAAATGGCTTTGCGGTAACATTTTTACTAAGCTCATGTGTGAGCTCTGCTCCAGTGGTTCGTGATTCCGTCTGGTGTGCACAAGGCTGGTTATAGGTTGGTCTATGTGACGACACAGGGTCTTCTCCTTATTGCATTCTCGCACAATCATGATCATGTTAAGACATGACTGATTATCGAAGCTCTATACACACCTTGAGCAGTTGTGAAATTAAACACTGAAACAATTCAGGCTTGAACGGGATTCGAACCCCTGACCTCTGCGATACCGGCGCAGTGTTCTACCAGCTGAGCTATCAAGCTAAATGGGAGCTGTTTACATTGTGAGTTCGTAATATTAAACAATTATTCGCCTAAGGCGAAGTGAACATTGGTGAATATTCACCGAGACGAAGTTTCAGAGGTAAATATCAAGGACTACAAAATAACGGACTAAAACATAAAACACAGACGAAATTGTTCGTGTGCATACACGTATGCAGCCGTAGTTTTAATAAGAAGCAAACATGTACATCGATTGTCAGTCAATTTACTCATCGGGTTCGGCAATAAAACAAACGAGCGAAACACTACGAAAAATAAATTCATCCATTACCTTTGTTTTATCGTTGTTGACGTCATTCACAGTTGTCATCATCGCCTAAAATGAGTAGCTTTGGTTTGAAGAAAAATAAATTTTGGTCAGTCGATCTGACCTGCCGGCGATCGACGCAACTACTGCGTTTACGATTCTTAAAAGTCTTGAATACGAGTTCTTGAAAAGATTTTGGTCCAAGGGTGGCAGCAGTCATTTTGAAAATTCTCCATCCTTTCAAATATCCTGGACTTGGAGTGATGTCTTTCGAATAAATGAAAACTTCAGTCAGTAACTGTCTGCCATGTTTACTTGCCGAGATAGCAAAGATGGCGAGCTTAGTAACCAATCTCCAGCGGGGTGAATACAGCATCATATGATGACCTTTTCGACCAATCATAATGTCCAATTCTTATATTCACCTCTGGAAATTATACTATACCTATATATGGTGAAGATACAAGTGAATATATGAAAGATCATATGGTTGAACCTCGGAGAAAGATATGAAGACATGATTGATCATCGTAGTTATGTACACAACTTTAGTAGTTGTGAAATTAAACCCTGAAAAACAAATTCAGGCCTAAACGGGATTCGAACCCATCACCTCTGTGATACCGGTGCAGTACTCTATCAACTGAGCTATCAAACCAGCTGGGACCTGGTCACTTTGTGAGTTCGTAATATACCCGTAGATGGTGAAGAATACATGTGAATATATGAAAGATCATATATTTGAAAGATCATAGATTTGAACTGAGGAACTTAGTCATATATATAACTGCGATGATCAATCATGTCTTCATATCTTTCACCGCAGTTCAAATATATGATCTTTCATATATTCACTTGAATCATGATCATGACAACTAAATGGAATAACTTTAACAGATTCATTCCAACTTAATTAGCAGCAATCCACTGACCTTTAGAGGGTGCGTTTCGTTTGTAATAACTCCCTAAAGAGAATTAGCCGGGCTCCGGCGCCTTAGTACACAACCCTATCCTTTATATATTATGGAGTCCAGTTAATCCTTTGCTGAATGCTTCTAACATTTTCATATCTTCAAAATCAAATGTTGAAACTCCGGCACATATGTTCTCACTCTAAGTTTTACAATGGAACTTTTTTTACAGATAAGGAAAGCACTTTCACTGCAATTTCTGTGATGAAATTTGCCCGGAATTACCTGCTGGAATCCACGCACAAGGACTGGTACATCTGCCAGGATAAGAAGAAATCAATCCACATCAACCCTGACCTAAAGTTGGATTTTTACAATGGCGATCCAGATGTCCTTAATCGTTGCACGTTTTTATTTCATCCAATACCGCAAACCGATAATAAATATAAAATGTGTAAAAACGTTGTTGGACCAATGAAACACCCCAGCATAAGTGGACAACCTCTTCCTCATCCTCCTCACTTGGTTCCAAAAACACAGCCACCAGCCCTTGCCCTGCCCTCTTGTATCCCTGTATGTCCAGCGGGAACAACGAGCGGAGCGACAGGGCAAACGGCGAGTTTGGGGTCCTCGTCTCTCGTCATTCCTACAGTACCTGGAACACTAGGAGCTCACGCGAAGCCCTCTGTTATCAACGCTAAGAGTAGGTGTATTTCGTTGTTTTTGAAAAGTAACTAAGTACTTTTGTTCCTTTGCTACTGCCAAAACGTAAGATTTGGCCACAACAGTTGCTCAAATAGCATTGAACGTATGATGCGAGACTACTGCCTTAAGTTGATTACCTGCGTTTTGACATGGGGTTGTCAATTAATTCAGTTAAAGGTGTACAATACAACTTAATAATTCGACTGACATACCATAGACTCCGTGCGCTCAAGCAAGAAGTCTGTGTAGTATATCTATTATGCTCGTTGCATAGCCCTTCGTCTTAATCGTGCAGATCAAAGAATGGTCATAAAACTACATGGATGCCCGAGAGAGCAACATGCACCGGTTGAAGCGAAGAGATTTAGTGGCAGTTTTATGAAAGTCTTTTTTCCCCGGAAATCTTTTTTACAATTATCGTAACTTTTAAACTACATAAAAATGCTTATTTAGTAATCTTAGAAGTCACGCTTTTCCCCCTTATTCTGACATCCATTTTGTGGAACGACCGGCTTGTTTGACTGTCGTGCGGCTATATATGCCAAGCGGGCCTATTCACGAGTATCTAATCAATGAAATCCTAACAATGTGCGACAAACGCGTTTAATGCATTTGTTTTGTTCTTTTTGCAGAGGCGTGCGTTGCAGTTAACTTCATCAACAACTTTGGATCTCAATTCACGCTCTACTCTTCTCTTAAGCACGAAGGTTATCTTGTCACCGGATCTGGCTTTAAACTCAAACTAATCGTAGACCGACCTGAACTGCATAGTCACGTGACATTCTATGCCAAAGATCCCCTTGGCAAGCGCAAAATCTTCCTGAATGGACAACTAAGGACTTCAGAGGCAGTGGTTGCTGGCTGTCCTGAATTTGCGAACGTGTTTGTTACGCCAGAGGAAGGTGAGACAGAAAGCTTTACTCTGTAACATATGTACATGTGCTGAAGTGAACTAAATCTTAAACAGCTTACTCTAATCAGCGATTGATAATCGAATATCAGAGTAACGATTGAATTAGACAGAAATGAATTTCAATTTATATTTAAAACGAGTAATGCCTAAAGCTTAAAGGGGCTCAGTGACGGTATTTTGAGTTATTTTGGCCACATAAAAAATTACCTTTACATGGTAGGAAACCTGAAAATAACAGTTTAATAAGGTAGAAAAACACCAAAAAGATAATGATAAACCATAAAGGAACAAGGATGGTTAAGGATGGAGAAGATTAACACGGATTACAAACGACGAATTTGAAAAATTGAGGCTAAACTTTTCAATATGCGCAAACCGTGACGTAGCTCCTTTAAAGTTAAGTTCCAGAGTTACACTGATATAGTTCATAAAATTCTTAGCTACGACTGGATAAAAAAAAAGTATTGTAAACCTGTTGACAGAGACCTTTAAAGTGACTTGGAAGAATATAATGATTTGCTCCTACTTTGAAAAAACGCTGTTATCTTCTTTTTCCTTTATTTAAGGCATTCATTCAGGAAATACAAACAGTACATCACAGCCTGGTGTCCCTGGTTCAACCATGTTACCTCCATCTACTTCATTATCACCACCAGCTCCAAATTCCCCAGCTCCATCTTCTCATGCTCTCTCTCCGCCTGCCGTACCTCCAGCGCCACCTCCTGCTCCACTCCTTCCCCCACCTCCTGTGCCAGTTCCTTACCACAATCACTTTCTTCCTCCTTCTTCTCACAATCATTCTGCTCCTAGTGCCTACGCACCTGCGCCACCTGCTGCTCCATCATCGTTGGGACCAGCTTCCTCTCCTACAATTTCAAATCCTACTGTTCAAGGAGCGACGACTTCTAAAGGAGGTAGGTCTTGAAACTTCCTAAAAGTTTGCCTATAATGTTATTCTTGTCTTCAAGCAAATATGTAGTCACACAAACCAGAAAAAGATGCTTTCACGGTATTGATTTACGGTATTGGACGGGAGTGTGCCAAAACCGATTTAATGACCCATGATTTAAATGCAACATAACTACAGCTCGATTTATGAGTACTTAAACTAACTTGAGAATATCTTAACAATTAAACATGCGATTTTATTTAACCACCTATATACAACTTCAGTATGGAAGTTGTATATAGGTGGTTAGAGAAAATCTAAAAGAAAATTTAACGCACATCATGATCACTAAAGCTACCTTATTTTTAGCCTCTACCAGAGGTCCTGTTAGCTGAAAAGCAGTGCAAAAAACGGCAGAAGAAAGCATAAGTGAGGAATGGGACCCGGGAAGGAACTTTACCCAAGCTTCTCACGCCAAGCCACTCTCCACTTTTTACGCTTGCCGTTTTTCACTCTGCATGCCAATTAAATGAATGCTTGGAAGAGGCTGACTTATTGTGTATATATTACGTGCATTTGGCAGATCATCAAGCAGTCCACTATCATTTCCACTATCATGGTAAAAAAGCACCGGTGACAACTTCAGGTGAGAGTTTTATAAGAGGTTCCACATATGATGAAATTCAAAGTGACAGCTATCCAGTTAAGGTGGCTCCCTAGAGTATTTACGTACACCCTCCCTATAGAGCGCGAGTTAGAAGAGGAAACTTAATCAATTTCCCTTAAAGTTTCCCTGTAGAGATTTACCAGTATGAGTACTGTTAAAATAAGGCTTACTTTTTGGTTGTCGATTTTTGGATGAAGGCCATTACCATGGCAACATCTCAACTAATGACAGGCAGATATATTTGTCATTTTGGCCGAAACTCCTTAATATTTATACTTTCCTTCGGTGAAATTTTTTATACTTTGCCACATCATTGCCTGACAGTTTGAACTGGTAAAAAGTCGAGGTTGTTCAGACGGTTTTTCCAATGTCCTGTTATTTCTCATTCTTCTAAATATATTAGATTAGCTCTGACAGATTTTGACAAAAATAAGACATTTTATGGTAATTGTATGTAGTTACAATAGAGCCAAATTTTAAAAAAATTCACCGAAGGAAACGGGAGAAAATCCACTGTCCACTGACTGCTTTTGTACTATGCTCGCGTGCAATCATAGGGAGTCACCTTAAGTCAACAAATGTCCCTTTTAACCAGGTTAACTCTCACCCGTATTAAGGGCCGCGTCAAATGGACTCAATTGAAGATATTTGACAATAATTTCTTTCAACATTAGTTAAGTGTAACATTGCAACCTGAAGTAGAAATACTAATTATCAGCAAAATTATCTTGGATCCTTAAATACTATTTGCTATTATTTGAAATTTTGTAGAACATTGAATCAGTTTAGTCGAGTAGCGACTCTCTTGCGTTCACTTCGCTTAGAGGCAGGATCCAGAACCCCTACTTTTACTCTCCCTTCTCCCTCGTACAAGTTTAGTCATAAATAAAGCGGTTGGGTAAATTTGAAAGAAGCCATTTTAACAGCTATCTCGCTTCCACTCATCCAACCATCTATCAAATCGTTCTGTCACTATGGGTTTTCTCAGTAGACCTGTGCACATTTTCTTCGACGCTATATGTGCAAAAGGTACTTACCAGGGTTACATACAACTGAAGGTTTGCCCAAATTCACTTGTTTCTAAATATATTTATTATATCTTTCTAAAGAAAATCTATGTAACTCTTGTAGGTACAACGGGTGGTTAATCTACTTCTAGATCTACTTTTGATTCGTTCACAGTTTGTCCAAGTTTGTGCTCAGGTTCTGAGGAGTGCCATCCCTCTTGCCCTTCACAATGCTGTAAACGAGACTTCGATGAAGTCGTGTCGGGCGACGAAGACGTCACGGTGGCATGAAAGAAGAGGTTATTTCACGACAAGTGCCTTGACATTTGACGGTATTTTCTTTCCCCGTCTAACAAGACTGTTGGACATGGACGAAAGAGAAACAAAACGCGTATATTCCAAAAATTGACGATATGTGTCTCTTTTTGTTTACCTTCCTTCGGCGGGGGTGGCATTACGTTCAGCTGCCACCCGAAGCAGGAAAAGATAAACAATCAGCAAGGGTTAAGTTTAAACTCTGTAGGACAAAAGCTGCTTCTAAAGGAAAAATCTATGGTCAGAATTACAAATAATGAGATTATTTTCTTGCAGCTTACATTTATTAGCCTTGTGGGAGTGTCAGGACGTTAAAAATTTGTAGATAAACATAAATAAGCTGTAAATAAATACAAATAAACTATTTTTAACCTTATATAGCCTACGGAATTGCTTGGAGGTCGTTGGGCTTCAGGGAGGTCACATGATGGTCATGTACCAATTATGACGTTTTTAACACAACATGAAGTATTCAATTTAATAAACTATAAACAAAATCAAAGTTACACCGTTACCTTTTTTGCCAGACCGATGTATCACGTTTAAGTCTCTTGGTAATCAATAGCTCAATATTCTAAAAAAATGTTGAATGTTTATAGTGGTCGATGTGCTTACCTACAACTAGCTAGTTCCCAGTCATGCCACTTTATTTGAAATAAAGAAAAATTTCAACTAAACGTAATAAGCTTAAAGATCCTATATGGGGGAAGGCCGCCCAGTTGGTTATTTACAAGCATGAGGAGAAGTTGAACTAGGGTCTACAGAGAAACAACTCTAGCTTAGTGGTCAGAACGGGACTTGAATCCGCGTCTCCGGATTTCAAGTCCGGCGCCCTAAACACTCTGCCACCCTGCCTCCCGGCCCGTGAGTGTGAAATTGTCTGAACGATGCATATCGGCTAGAATGATGTTGAATGGAGTCCGAAACCGGGATTATTTTGTAAGTTCTGAGGTCTACATATTCTGAAACGGAATCTTTCTCTTCAGCTGCTTCTTTTCCTAGTTATTTCTATAGTGCGCTAGAAGAACGCCAAACGTAGAAAAGTTAGTATGGGCCGACGATGCATAATTAATTCGTGTCCACGCACACTTAAGATGACTAAAGAAAAAAAAAAAAACTGCTCACAAAATTCATAAGTGAGCCGGTTCATATGGAGTACAGCGGAGTAAAATTCACTGCAAGATAATGTAAATGATTTAACGGTTTAACAAACTAGTTTCGAAAGTTAGTTTGAAGCGTGCGATACGGAAAAGGGAATAGGGAGCAGGCTTGCTTTATGGTACTTCCAGGTTTCAAATCCATTCTCCAAAAGAATAACTAAGGTATCGTTTTCGATAACATATAGATTTAGCCAAGCTTAAAAGCGGAGCTCCTGATTACAATAACTAACCATAAAGGGAAGGAGGATTTGTTTTCCTGGCATCAGAAACTCAAAAAATGTCATAGATCAAGATCTATGACCAATGACAATTAACAGCAGCATCACACGCAGGGGAAAACCTTATCAGATCCTAAGCTTCCCAGCACGGGAAATTTCCTGACTAAAACAGCTAAAGTTAAAAGAAACAACCCAAGTTGCAAACAGATCGCAACTCAAAATAGAACTGTTAGAACTGTTTATTTGTACTCAGTAGAAGTGATTATGTTTACAATTGTGGTCGATTATTTCTTAGATAAGGAATAGGACTCCTGTATTTGAGAAACCATCATATACCGATTGAATTTGGGCAAAAAAACCACATTCAGTCAGTGTCATACAAGATCGGATTCTGAACTTAAAGGCTTGGTTCACTTCACTGTCTCCTTTACGAAGAGGGTGCACTTTTTTCTTAACGCACCAGCACCAGTTCGCGCCCTATACGCATTTTAAAACCTAAAGCCATAATTAATAACCCTTATAGTTTTTCCTCTTGAAAAAATTAAAAACTTGACGGATTTCAAAAATTCATTGAGCAGAGCAGTATTGACACAAAAAGCCAGTTTAAAACTCAAAACATCAAAAGGAACTTTTTTGTCGAGTAGAAGTCGACTCATTAAGTCGAAGATGTCGACATATTGGATTACATCATGATACGGTTGAAAAGCAACACCGTACCGCCTTTGACAGGTGGCTGGCAACACTAACCACATGTCAGAGCCAGACGCGACTGAGCAGAAATTTCCCAATGTTTTTGTGGCCGATTGATACATAGTTAATGTCAGCTATCCACCGCTAGGAAAGTGATTCTAATGTCATAAACATGCAGTATGAGAAGTATACACTGGTTCCTCCTCGTCATCATTTTTCTGTGCAAGTTTCGTGGGTTCTGTTCCACGGCAAAGAAACATAAAGGTAAGCCGCACTTTGGTTGATAAGTTTCCGTCATTACTGCTACCTGACTAAACGTCTTGACCTGCAAACGAGACTGCTGCCTGGACGTTACGCTTAACATTGACATCGGGAATAACGTTACATATCAATTCTGTTGTATCAGTTTCTTGGGAAATCAAAGCTCGCTTATTTCGGTTGTGATTAGTCAAATATCTCTCAGGTGGGATTACTGAGCGGAACGACAACCAGCGGGTATTTAAAATTGGCTGTTATAAAAGCATATCCATCGACCTACGGCTGTTGTGTCTGTTAATTCCTAGACTAAACCAAAACTTTCCCAATTATAATGAAAAGAAGGTTGGAGTAATTTACCTACTTAGAGGGCATTTTGAAACAAGTAGGTGCCTGTCATTTAGCTTTGTCAGTTATTCTAATAGAAAGCTGGTCTTTAACACCCCCAATGATTTAGTCACCATTTTACCAATTCTCGCTTTAGGAAGTCTGTAGGTGACGTAGCTGCGATAATATCGCGCCGGACAAGACAAGACATTCCAGTAGCACTGTTTACAGTTACAAAAGGTTAAGTTGCGAACATAAACAAACGAAGCACCAGGGTCGGTCTAACAATAGGGTGACCCAAATAGGTCAATAATACCACAAGAGCCTCGACGAGGGAATCTTCAGTGATAACCGACAGTTAGCTGGTTTGTAATCTATAGTTTTTGAGAATGGGCTCCCTAAACTCAAAGTAATAAATAATAAACCACGTATGTGGAAGCAGGGTGACCTTAAAATGGTTAGCGGGATGAACCCTGGATCGAGCGGTCTGGGTTCGAGCCGGCTAGGGTCATTGCGTTGAGTTCCTGGGTAAGGCACTTTACTCTCACAGTGCCACTCCCCATCCAAGTGTCTAGATGGGCAGCGGCGAATTTAATGCTCGGAGGTAACCCGGTGACGGACTAGCATCCTCTCCAGGGGTGGTAGAATTACTCTTAGTCGCTCTATGCTACATAATTTCCCTGAGACATTCAGAATGCACAATTTGGCCGGCCCAGAGTTTACTTTTCCTTAAAAAACACGTTTAGTTTTAAATTTCGCTATTACTTTGTACTAAGCCAATCAAGAAAAGAAAACAGCAAGAGCACAATAATGAGAATCTTTCTCTTTCCTTGGCGAGTTTAATTAAGACGATTTATTGGTATACATGTACAGCGAGTTCACTAGGATTCAGCCATTGAATGAAGCCAATAAGAATAGGAAAATAATTATAAAACATTTGATTTCTATCGTCACAGGAAACAAGGCGAGCTATTTTCACGCCAACATCAGGGAGGACATCCCAAGAAAGAGAGTTATTGGTTTGTATGTTTTTGTTTTTAACAATGCATTATCCTAAAATCAATTATTTTCCCCTTACATTTACATAATAAAATAATATCGTTTTCATAGTGAGCTTTTGGTGAGGTTAGTTTTGAAGACCGCCTGCCGCTCTGGGATCAATATTGATTCTGTACAAAAAAAATTGTCCTCTGTTAAAAATAGGTTTACATATTGCACACAGCAAATCATGCAATTTCATTACTTTATCTAGTAGAAGACAAGAGGCAAAAAGGAGTAGTTCTTGAACGATGGGATGGAATCGACGGTTATTTGACCCGGAAACTTCTGGAAGATCCTCGTTTTCCCACAATGCCAACATATCGTTCTTACACAACAACATTCAGCGAGCCAGTCAACTGGGGAGACAATTATGGATCACGAATCAGAGGTTACTTCGTACCACAACAGAGTGGACCTCATGTTTTCTTTATAGGTGAGGAAAGAAAAGGAAAGTAGTTTAGACCATTTTTGGAAAGTGGCGCGTGTTGCGCCGAGGTCCTGCTTAGTTTTTAACTCAGATTGAGTATCCACAACGGGAAAACCTCGGGTGGGGGGTACTTTGAGAATTTCTGGGTGGGGATGTGCCGCTGGGACCCTGGAACCCCTAGCCTATACCAGAGCTAGTTCAGCTGAATTTTGCTACCCTATACTAGAGTAAACTCCTCAAATCCCCCCATCTATCGACACTATTGAGGCTGATTTGCGTAAATTTAAGCTTGCCGGTTTGATTTTTTTTGTATATTTTTGAGTGGCAATTCCTGGTTTCCTTGGTCTAGATAAAATCTTCAACCAACTAGTCAGTTTTGTGAAAAATGATACCCTATTCTAGACCCAAACGCTCTGATTTATATACCCTATCCTAGAGTAAACTGCTTGAAAACCATACCCTTCACAGCGGCACATACCTATGTAGCCCATATATGGCAGTGCCCCCCCCCCCGGGGGGGAAACCTTTTTGAAACGTTTGCAGTCTTCTGCAACCGTTCACACGACCAGTGCTTACCGTAACACAATTTGAGACTTAGATTGATCCAACTAGGAGGTATGACAATTTCCACCTCGAAAGTCGGCGAAAGATCAAGCTAAGTGCAGATAGCTGCTGTTACCGGTAAGCCGATTGTGGTTGGTACCCAGCCCGTGGGATCGTGTAATGGAGAGGTCCTCCAGGATCGAAGTTCCGATTTTGGCGTCAAAGTTACCCTTCGAGACAAACATTGGCTTAATTCGTTTCTTTCCTGGTCAGTTCTGTTATGCCATTATACGAACTAGCTATAATCTTTATTAGTAGAATTCTACTAGTACACTAACGCAATGCTGTAATCTGATTGGCCGAGGTACTCGCACACTATCAGCCATATTGGAGTGCAGTGGCTGTCGGTCGTACACGAAATGACGACGTTCTTTCGTTTTCCTGACGATTTTGAGGAACGTTCAGATATAAATGAATAATTCAATTCCTGAGAAGACTAAAAGAAGGGCTTTAACGGTTTCTTGACTTCAAAAACTTGAAATTAGTGGAAAAAAACGGATGCAAGCGAATTTCCAATGGCAATTCATTCCGTGTGATTTTGTTTAAGTGTAAAGTTTAATAACACGTGGAAAAATAATTGGAAAGCATTATTTGCGTTAATTTCAGGCAGAATTCTATTAAAACACTTAGATTATACGCTCTCGATTCCTATGAGGTGATAGTTGATGAGCCCGGGAAACTACATAATTGAGTCAGAAATCAGTTATGGAAGCGTCTGGAATCAATTGGGATTTAGGAAACCGCAGCAATAGAGTCGTTTGTTGTTGTCATTGTCACGCTTCTTTTTTATGTTCATTCACTGGCTTCTGCGTTTATTTCAGAGAGCGACAACGAAGGCCAACTTTTCCTCAGTACAACAGACAACCCAGATCAGAAAATATTGATATGTCGAGTTGGCAAAGATCACGAGTCGCTTCCTTTGCAATTTACAAAGTAAGAACAATTTTTTTCGTGGGGTCGGGTAGCAGTTCTCGTAAGGTCTGGCATGAATGGCTTTATACCCTTTGAGAGGACAATAGAACAAACAACAGAAATAATGCCCCTAGCCCTAAAAAAATAACAGCTGCTATCAGGCACTGAAAAGATTACAAGCTTACGAGAACTGTTACACCTCTGTCACCGCACCTTCACTACACCTTTCAATAGCACACAAACCCTATAGTTCTGCTGGAGCACAGCTAACAGCTCGGTCATACCCTACAATCATTTACTTCATTTGTCGGTTCAGTTACCATTGACGGATAACAATTACAACACAAAATTTCTACTTTACGTTCGGATCTCATGGAAAGGGGCAGGAATCACATGTGGAGTATATTAAACATACATGTACTATAACGCATGATTATCATTACATTAAGCCTCGTTACATAAAGCTAAATTCGATTTTCTTTTTTCTTTAGGTATCCTGAGCAAGAATCTTACCCAATAAACCTAAAAAAGGACTCCTATTACTACATTGAAGCTCTTCATAAAGAACAATATGGCAACGACTCCTTAGCGGCAGCTGTAAAAACGCCTGATAATAAATTTTATGCGCCAATACCTTCTGATTTTTTGTGGACAATGGCACCTCCTAAACCTCAAGGTATGCTATGTAAATCAAAAGTTAAACAGACACACAGGTAGTCAGACAGACAGACAGACAGACAGACAGACAAAATGACAGGCAAACGACAGACAGAGGCTCTCTGACCGCTGTAACTATTTTAGACATAATACAAACTTTATATAATGAGAGTTACCCTATCACGACCCCTAATAAGCAACTGCTTTTGTTCATCACACAAATTGTCAGAGAAAGAACTTCACTTGGAATGATGATCAATTTTCCCAATTTTGGGGCTAATTATATTACGTAAGGCACCTCATGCCAACATACGATCTGTCACCCGAGCCAAAATTTGAGGGATGGAACCGTCCATTTTTGTCCTGTACATTGGTAGGCACTTATAGCCAATACTGAAGCGTTGCAGAGAAGTTGTCTATTTTGTGCACATGTATGACCAAATAAGAGAGGGCTTCGATGGCGCCTTTTTCGGATTAGCAAACTCACAATCACGGTACTCCGTTGATGGAGGATGAACACAAACCTTCAAAGATGTGGGCAGATGGAATTATTTTCAAGTCCATTTCTCGATCGTAATGATTAATTTTTCTTTCTGTCAGCAAACGAAACTGCTTCTTCGTTTTACCTTATGAAGATAGCAGCTAAAGCTGGAGCTAAGGCGGGTGCATCCCTAGGTATAAATGAAGCACAAAAGAGTGGTGCGAGGGCGGGTGCTATGGCAGGTGCTGCAGCGGGCCAGAAGGCTGGAGCTGAGGCTGGAGCTGAAGCAGCAGCTAGGGCAGCAACTGAAGTAGCCACAAAAACACTGAAAGAAGCCCTGGCAAAGCTAGGCACATTTAACAAACCGGTGGGTATTTATGTCCAGCATACAATTGAGTAACTACAATGAAATGAAGTGTCCCGATGCTGGCCTATATATGCTTCTTTCTACAGTTATCTCTTCTTTAATAGTATACGTTAGTATAAATTTATCGAAGTCTATTTTAAATCCGAGAATTTGATTGGTTCTATTATCGTTTTCCATGTGCTCATAGACAACCGCTGAACGTGTGATTTTCCACAGGTTTCGGTGCACATCGTGCGCAGCCATTTTGAATTTTCTGATGTAAAAAAACAAAACAGTTCTTTTCTACGCGTTACTTGCCTTTCTGTATGCAATGAGACTACGGTAGTTTTATACTAAAACGACTAGACTACGCAGGCTGCACCTCGTTGACTATCCGCTCGTAGAAACGTCACGCTCGTAGTCTAACTTTCAATTATAATCCGTTGGCTTTTTCAGACGTTTAACATATATGCAGGAAATGGAAGTGTTATACCAATGCAGCCAGGAGTCACGTCTCAAACTGGGGGACAAGTAGTTACATCTGGGACCAATGCAACGGGCACCAACTTGACGAGCACAAGTGGCGTGGAAGGAGGTCAAACTGGTCAAACTGGTCAAATAGGTCAAACGGGTCTGATAGGAGGACAGGCTTCCATTAATATATCAACTCAAGTTCAAGGTGGGGTGTACGGAGCACCGGGTGAAGCAGCTCATCCAGGGATTTACAACGGGGCATTTGTATACAACCGGGCAGTTCCCTACTACATTCCACCAACTCAGTACAATGCTCATATCGTAGCCAGACATAGGGAGTTTCTGGACTCGCGAGGACTCTCAAGAATTCGTAAGTAGACAGGCATATGTATTTATATATATATCTAGGAATACCTGAAGTCGTCTCCTATCGTGAGAGAGTAAATGGACTTTCGAGGTTAAAAAGGTGCTTTCAGATGTATCTCTTGTCTTTCTATTTCTTATACTGCCTAACCGCTCGCATCATGTTACCAAAAGAGCGACCATTGACCGCCAAACCCACGCTTAAATTTTATAACGCAAGCAATCACAGGATCCTTAAATAACTTGAGTGTTTAAAGGGGGGTGTTTTCAGTCGCTGTACAAACGTCTCACCATTTGAACAACTTTTCTTTCCTCGATAGTTGTTAATGGTGCACTGTACGTGGTGTACTCTTTTGATGTTCCTGCTAGTCAGAATCCTACGTATAATCTCTGTTGGCGAATCACCAATGGGAGACTAGAGCTGTCTCAGAATTGTCAGGTGCGTACATTGTAAGGCTGTGTCAACTGATTGAATCCAGCTAAGGATCGCGTGGAGAGTTAAGGTTTTTCGATTTTGAAGTCCTATTGATGAAATGTTTCATCATTAAAAAGTTGATTTACGTATTTTAAGATAGACGACGTTTTGATCCTCTCACTAAACCAGACAATTAGACAGGGAGACCAGTCTGTCTCGATGAGCTTAAGACCTGCTGCGCAAGTTGTCAATGACCATCAATGGCAATCAGTGAAAAACAGTTTGGACAGTTAACATTGATAGATTAGAAACTTCAATTCAATCGCTGGCCAGGTTTGGAATTGCAATGCTAAGGAATGCACAATATACTCCATACTTTATAGCAAAGATCTCCACTGGAATATTAAGCCTCTCAGAATAAATGATAAGAGTACATTATATCAGAATTGTGTAAAAGCTGAACATATAAAAAGCCAACCCGAGATTAAATTCAATACCAATAATTCAAATTTTTTTATAAGTGCAAATTTCTCGTCGTGGTCGGAGATTCGAAGTCAGCTATTCCCACCCACTTGAATACTTTGGATGTAGATCAAAGTGTGTCTGTAAGAAAACTTTCTTTTACGCATAACATCTGTAAATAATCGCGAGGGTTTTCTTTTCGGAGCTTACCTCTTCTTCTTTACCCAATTATTCTTTAGGCTTTTGCCATCAAGATTCCAGGGTTTCACAAAGGAACTGGCGAACAACAAACTATATCATTTGAATCGGTGTGTCATCCTGGTCACTATATTAGGCAAAAGAACTACAGATTTGTCTTGGGGATGAACGGAGACACAAAGTTTGGTATGTTTGTAATTATATCGTAATGACTCTCAGAAGTTTGCATATGGCTATATGTCGATATGTCTTTTTACAATAACTGCGCAAATTCTCGCTCGCTTATGGCTAATTTTCATTGTCAATAGGCAGACAGACGAGGACAATTGTTATTTTAAAACAAATTAAAGTCAGTTTTCCATACTTCTTTTCTGTTTTTGACAATGAATTTTGTCATCTGTGGATCCACTCGGCTATCTATCTATCTAATTATGTGATCGATGAATATCAGAATACCTCTGTCTTTAATCCCTCGCACTGACGACTATTTTTAACAACTTTTCTTCCACAAAGACGCTAAAAATATTCCACTCTTTTTGCATCGTTAGATTATGATGCAAGTGCAGCCTTTTTCCAGGTGTTTTCCTTGCCAGGAGCATTTCAGTTCAGCCTTATGAGAAAAGGATGGTACATCTGCAGAAGTATAAATAAAGACTATCACCGAACAGACATAGTCACAGACTTCAACATGGCATCCGATTCATGGTTAAAACGTTGTTCGTTCGCTTTAAGACCTCTGGCTGCAAACGAGAATCCGCTAATGAACTGTTTTGACACCGCGCCATCACTCAAGCCTCCAGGAATACCGTCAATTAGTTCCACAATCTCAACACAATCACATGCAAACAAAACAACACCGACCAAGCGTCCAACTACAGTGCCAACTACACCGCACAAAGAAGAAGGTGAAATGCATTTTCACTGTCATTCATTATGAAACGGGTCCGTAAAACCAGTCACAAGCACTTACCTTTAAGGCCCAGGTCAAACGTCAAACTTAACATGAGACTACTTACTTACTAACTACTGAAATCGCAACTTGAGTCGAACCAAACGGGTAAAGCTCAACCATTGACTCAAGCGTCAAACTTAATTCGAATTTAGATCGACCAACACGTCTGAAACAGACGGGTAGAACGTGTTGGTCGATCTAAATTCAGTCGGACGAACTGAGTTGAGTTAAACGTCGAACTTATCATGAACTTAATTTGCTCAATTTAGTTCGTCTTATGTGAAGTTTGACGTTTAACCTGGGCCTACGTTACTTGGAACAGATTTCCAAATCTTGGCATTCTTGTGAATCAATTTTAAATGCGCCAGGATATTCTTGAGTTCCTCAACCGAGGTTTTTGTAGGACGGATCTCGCCGCGCAGAAAAGACCGAGGGCCATGAGTTAATTCACAAACAATAAATGAAAAGCACATGTGGGTTACTGAACAAGTGTAAGGTCAAGATGGCTGAATACTGGTGTGTACGGACAAAGACGCAGTCGAGGTTCATAAACACGCAAAGAAAACCTAGGCCAATATCCAATCATCTTCACTGAAAAAGCTTAGTCAAGAAAGGACTTATTATGTTGCAGAAAGAGGAAACTCTACTTGCTGGATACAGCTGGCAGTCCCAGGCGGGCAAGGTTAAGCTCTTATTAACCGAGCAGGAGGTCTGTATGGGAGAATCTTGACCGAGGTCGTGAGTACAGATCGAACGCCGTGAGATCTATACACACGACCGAGGTCAAGAATCTCCCATACAGACCGACTAAGCTCGGTTAATAAGATGTTTATTATATGGCAAACAAGAACAATTTAATTC